TATAAAATTAAAATTGTTTTTGAAGACGAAGACGTATTTTACCATTCGCTTGTCAAACATGACATTGCTGTCCTTTGGTTAATGTATCTGCTGAAACCGAAATATAAAATAGGTATGACAAGAAAACAGTCTCAGAATTGCTGCATTTACTATTCATGCTTCAGTAAAAAAAAAGCAAGAATCCAATGCAGATAGCACTGCCAATTCACTCTTACTAAATGTGTGGGAGAGGCAGACTAAGCAAATGTTTGTTTACTGGGAGAGACAGTGAGAGTGGTCCCTCTGTTGGATTCAATAGGAAGTACAAGGGATGGACACGTGATTAGAAACCCACTGCCCCTCTACACAGGCTTTTTCATTAAGCAAAAGCCCTAAAACATAATCCCGCCATGATTTTGTGTGTGTTTAATAGAGAGAGAGAGAGTGATAAAGAGAGGGGTAGAGAGGGATAAAGAGAGAAGGTCACAGACGTCAGACTGCAGTGGCAGTCATTTTCTCTCCCCTTGTTTTCGATACAGTGACTGCAGTGGATAAAGCACGACATAAGGCAAGACACCATTGCGAGGCTGAGACAAAAAAAGCAGTATAGAGCATACTTATGGTAGATTCAACAGCTCTACTGTCTGTCATTGGTACTTCAGCAAACCGTGTTTTTATTTATCAACAGTAACATTAAGCAATTATGTATTTGATACTGTAAACCACACTAAAAAATAAAATGAAGAACCAAGATAAGGTATTCTGCGCCAACATTTCATCACTCTCTTTATCAGCATCACTCTTTCAAAGGAAATTAAATAACCTTCTAAGACACAAAAGAAAAAATTGTAAAAACAGACTGGAGTCCATTTTGTAAATAGGTTCATGAAGTTGTGTTCTCGTACGCTCTCATTACTCTTTCTCAAAATAACTTTCCCATTTTATAAATCTCCAAAAGAGAAGTCCCGTGGCAACCAAAATCCTTTTACTCAGGTGGAAAAGTAGGCACAGTAATGCATTGGGTTTGATTGTTTGAGCCGATCCCTCGTGTACCTTGCTTTCAGAAATAATGGGCAAAGAACTAGCCGCAAATCCACCCTCATCTGGGGCCTGAACAGTTCCTTGCTTGTTCTGGTTCAGCTTGTGCATAAATCAAACAGATTCTTGTGGCGCTGAACAAAGCTATCAAAAAACGCAGGCAGGCTTTGGATGCTTCCCTCTTAGGATGCCCTGCCTGTGTATACTTGCCGTATTGGAGAGGATGGACCCCGTGGTTCGGAGCATGACAAAGCTAATCTAATGACTGCAACAACATCCCAATGCCACAAAGAGGGAGCACAGGAGGACGGGTTAGTGGAAGTGGGGGAGAAGGGGAGGGGTGGTGATAAGTTCTTCCTTTTATCTGTGACCAATTGTAAGCCTGTGATGTTCTCACTCAGCTGCGGGGCATGTATTTAATGTGTTTTTTGTCCATCTCATCCTCAGAAGCTCCAGTTTCCTCACTATCTCATGCTCAGGGCAGAAGTCTGCTCTGCTGGATTTGTGAAAAACCTCTCCCTTTTTAGAACTGGTCCCCTATTCTCGCACACTTATCCCTTCCTTTGCTCGATGCCTTCACCCTCATTCTGACTGGGCATTTCTGCTGCACATCTTTGATGGCCATCTTTCTCTTTGTCTCTCTCCCTCTGCTCTCCATCTCTCTCTTCCCCCACCACTCCCATTGAGTCCAGCCTACTTCCTTCCTGCTTGCATCTCATATCACATGCTGGGACTGTTGTGTGGGGGCGGGTACATGGCAGCTCCCTGGAAAATGACTAGTTCATCATTTCATTTAAGGCTCAGAACCGTCTCTATGGTAACCACACACAGCTGCTTGCCTCGCTCACACAAAGGACGCACCCTTGTAAAGGAGAAAAAAGTGTAGTATAAGATAAGACAGGCAGACTTTGGGATGGAGGAATAATAATTGACATATTCTGTGTTAACCTCTCTGCAACTCTGTCGTAAAATTGGTGAGATAACAACATCCATACACGTCATTTTTAGTCCAGTCAAACCATATGTGTATGCCGCCAACATAACTGCAGGGAATGCCTTTGATGTAAGAGAGCAATCTTGTTAACCGTATGCTTCAAGCAGGATAGTGTGCATAGCCTTCGGTAGAATCAATAATTTAATGCAGCACAAGGGAAGGCAGCGTTAGAAGCTTTTCCCAGACACTCTTAACCAGAAGTCATCATCTTATGCAGCCTGCAAATGCAATAGCTCTTCAGCTTATGAAGACTGCATGTGCAATCGCTCTCTTTAATGTGTATGTCTGTATAATATCCTGTGGTTCTAGAAAAAAAACAACACAACAATATTTGCTGCCTGGAAGAAATAAAAACAAGCTCAGTTGAGACGCCATAAAAACACATTGGCACAGACACGATGTTCTGATGGTTACGTGGACAAAAGCCTCTTCTCCTCATCCGCTCCGGCCCTTGCCCCGCCCAACCGGGTTGGCTGTGATCGACAGTAGGTGCTGCCGGGCCCCGCCCCGCCGCAGAGCAGAGACGGAGGGAGAGCTGAACCCGGCGAAGCTGATAGCTCGATCGGTGCCGAAGCTTCCTGCTGCAGCAGAGAGTAGCGGAAAATTACCTGACCCTCCCCCCACTCCACCACGTTCACAGAGAGCTGCAGCACACTGAACATATACCGAGCCACATTTACGAAGACACAGCTCCAGGCATTGTTTCAGGAAGCATAGTATGGAGAGCTCGTACGTATAGCGGAGACTATATGTGAAGGAGAAACCGAGGCAACGAAAAGAAATTCGCATTGAAGCGCACTGCCATTTTTTAAACCACACGCTGACCCACTTAGGAGCTTCACATCGCTCACACGCATACTGCAATGTTTGAAGTATTCTTAAGAGCGCGCGAAGCCCTGGTTCGGTATCCTTCACCGCCAACCAAATAGGCTAAACGAACTGAGTTTTGAAAGATACGCCATTATGCTTGTGTCTGCTGGACCACTCCCTGAAATGAGGTCACATCGTCTGAGTGACTGAAAGCATCAGAGATTCACCACAACACAATGTTCGCCTATTTGCCTTACCGGAAAATCTGAACCCGCTCCAGCATTTAGGAGCGTTGATTACACCATAAAATAGGCTAAATATAAAACACACGCAAACAAATAGATTTAATCACTGACAAATTCAATCAAAACAGAATCCAAAACAGATGTGTCCGATCTGGCATCAGCGGTTCAGGGTTGATTCCGTACACACATTGGGGACTTTAATGAAAATATATTAGATCGTGTTTACAGCGCTCTAAGGCTGATGGCACACATGTCTGCCGAGATGGATGTTAATTCCCTGTTAGTTATCTCAGCTGCTCCCCTTCTCGGGGAGAGCTGGTGAAGGAAGGGGGAGGGGAAGTAGTTCTGGCAGCACAGAGAAGAAAGATATATTGCAGAGCAGTGGATAAATGAGAAAACAGAGCAAGCATGAGAGCAAAATAAAGAAGAACAACTCATCGATCAAATTGCACCCTATGTTTTAAAAATTATGTATTGTTTTAAGCAGCTGTATTTCGAAAAAGCATCCATGGAACAAAAATAATTTGCTCACTATTCATAGATATTTAGTAGTTTTTGTTAAAAAAAAAAAGCTTAGTATTAATAAGATAATTAGACCATGCTAAAGAATGACATGGGCTTTTTTCACAATACTTCGAAGTTATATTACAAACAGTGCAAGGGGGATGTGGTACTAAGATAAAACCATATTAGAAAATATAAAAAAGTGGGAATTTTTAAAAACGGTTATGGAAATGGAGTGCCTGTCATGATTCCCCACACACACAGTTGTTTTCACTGCCATTTTGCTTAATTCCAACACAGCTAATGTGTGTGTGAAAATATATTGTAATTAATTAAGATCTCCCTCAAATCCCTGTTGTACCCAATGGCACGAGTTACATCTCATTTCTCATTGGCCTTCGTTAATGAAGACATTTCAATGAACACAGTAGAAAGAGCACAGGTGTAAAATATACATTTTGTGAAAGCTGAATTCTATTTAGTTTCCCACGGGTTCATGACCCTGCTCACTGTTTGCATAGTCATTTAACAGAAATCATCAAAATTGCTAATAAAGGTTCTGCTTTTCCTACTGTGACAAGTCAAACATGTCTGAAGCAAGTATTTTGGTGAACTCACATAATTTCCAGCATAACCCCTCCCAACTTCAACTGAAGATATTTCCTGTGTGAACATATGTGCAGGGTCTTTTGCGCTCGAATCACAACAGAATACAAAGAAAAACAAAGAAGCCCAATCACCTAAATGCCTGTGTAAAGAGAAAACAACATGTACTCTGCTAAAAAACTACCAGGTCATTAAAAATGCTGGTAGCGAGTACTGTTTACTTCTGGTTTTACAAACCAGCCATGAGGTTGTTAGCATGAGGATTTGCAACTAGCTATACTGACTGACCTATAGCTCACCCCAAAGACCAATATGCAAAAAACAGCTGAAGTTCATGTGGGGCGCTTAGGTGGACGGTTATGCAGTAAGAAGACGATACAACACATGTTGAGCCAACCATGTCCTTACTTGTGGACAACAACAGTGGTGCAATACCGCTTGAAGCCGTGAGTGTGACGCATTTCCACTGAACACCATGAGGGGAAGAAGAAGCAACTACAACTTTTGGGCTGTGAGGTGCTCTTAAGCACGTAAGTGCGCGTTGGGATTCATTTTACTTTTACGGTAAGGATTTTATAATAACGTGACTTGCACTTTGTGTTTTTCCAAAAATGCATCTTACTTTATTAGTCTTAGAAAATAACAGTCATATTTTTCGGCAGCACTATATACCCACATTATTCAGAGCTCACCAAATCCGTCCTGGTGCAACGCAAATCAGACTTTTCAGCACCATGGATAGCGCTTCTACCAAAGGCTCAGCAATTATTATATAGAAGTTACAAAATTAGTTGCTGAACTGTTTGGGGGGTATAACCTCTTACCTTGTCTGTGTTGGGTAACGTCTGAGTTCTGGTAAAAGTGTCTCCTCCATTAATACTGATCAGCTCACCATCTACTTGCGGATAAGGTGCAGGGTAAACCACTACGTCACTCTTCAGTGTGTCCGAGCTGAAACACACGTCGTACTGCTGAGTAGATTTAGAGTAAGACCAGCTCCCGTCCGGGTGGGTGGTGATCATTGGGGCGCTGTACCTGCTGAAGCTGCCGTCTGTCCTGTGGCATTTGACAGCTATTAAACTGACGAGGCTCAGCAGAAAGATCACCGACACCGACACAATGCCAATCAGCAGGTACAGGTTTAAGTCAGAGAAGCTGTCCTCCTTTAGGGGAACATGTCTGAACTGAGTCTGGATGTCAGCTGTGCTTTCAACCACCACCACGTCAATAGACACAGTAGCTGACAGGGAGGGTTCTCCGTTATCAGACACCAACACCACCAAGGGGTGAGTCTTCAGGTCATTGTCACTCATTCTCCTCTTAGTCCTGATCTCTCCGGTGCTGGTTCCGATCCGGAAGAGGTTGTTTCCTTTGGGCTCAGAGAGGTGATAAGAAAGCAGCGCGTTGTATCCAGAGTCTGCGTCTACAGCCCTGATCTTTGCCACAAAGTATCCCGCTTCAGCAGAATAGGGGATGCTCTCACTGTTAACGGAGCCGTGCTCAGAATAGGGCAAGAGGATGGTGGGACTGTTGTCGTTCTCATCCAGGACTAAAACGTTCACAGTCACGTTGCTGCTGAGCGGAGGAACACCAGAGTCTGTGGCCTGAACTTTAAACTGAAACGTTTTCAACTCCTCGTGGTTAAACGACTGCAGGGTGACTATATCTCCAGTCTCCGAGTGGACGTTTATTAGTGACCCTATGATATTGTTTTTATTTATTATTGAATACGTAACCTTTGCATTTTCTTCTACATCCGGATCATATGCAGTCATAGTATGGATAACGGCCCCCACGGCACTATTCTCTTTTACGAAAATGTTTATGACGGGCTCCTTAAAGCGAGGTGCGTTGTCATTGACATCAGAGACGTGAACTGTTATTACGCTTGTACTGGAAAGCGGTGGAACCCCTTCGTCAGTCGCCTTTATTGTTACAATATATTGAGATGCTCGTTCCCTGTCTAGAGATCCATCTACCACCAAAGAATAATGATTTTTATACGTGTTTTTAATTGTAAAAGGAACTGCATCAACTATTATTACCTGAACAACGCCATTTTTATCTGCGTCAATATCTCTCACTGTTATGAGCCCAACCATTGTGTCTGGCGGTGCATCCTCCCTCACTACGCTGATTAAGGATGTTACTGATATTTCCGGAGCATTGTCATTAACATCCGTGATTTCAACAAGTACTTTACAATGAGAAGCTCTTGTACTCGCCCCTTTGTCTTTCGCTTGAACCCGGATTTCGAATGCGTTGCTTTTTTCGTGATCCAATTCACCATTCACCGTAATCTCTCCCGTTTGGTGATTAATGGCAAATTGATCAACATCATTATTATTGTCTTGGTTGATAAAAGAATACAGTATTTCTCCGTTCAGACCCTCATCTAAGTCCCGGGCATGCACAGAAATCACGGTGGCACCGTGCGGCGTGTTCTCCAGTACTGTGGCTTTATACAGCGACTTGTCAAAAATAGGAATATTATCATTTACATCTTGCACATTAACGGTGATGTGTAACGTGCCTGATTTAGGAGGTTTCCCTCCATCGAAGGCGGTCAGTGTAAGTTTGATAACTAGCTGTTTCTCGCGATCTAAGGCTTTCTGCAGCAGCAATTCAGCAGACATCGCCGGCTCTCCACCATTCTGTACATCCAGACTAAAATGTTCATTTGGACTCAGCTTATAGTTTTTAACCGAGTAACTGCCAACATCTGCATCGAGGGCTTTTGGTAGTGCAAATCTTTCGCCAGGAAAAGCTGATTCGGACACGTTGAGAGCAATTCCCGGTATCCGAAACGACGGTACGTTGTCATTTATATCCACAATTTTAACCTCAAATCGATAGAGATTCAGCGGTGAGTTCACAATGGCTTCCACTTCCAGAGAACATTTAACATTACGAGAGCAGATCTCCTCCCGGTCTATTCTGTCTTTTACCAACAGCATACCAGTCTTCACATTTGCTTCGAAATACTTCGCATTAGGTCCTGAAATCTGAAAACTCCGGGTTTCCAAATCCTGTACATTCAGATGCAAGTCCTTCGCCAAATTCCCGACAGCGGTGCCAGTGCTCGATTCCTCCGGAACAGAATACACAACCTGTGCTGCTGCAAGACTCCATATCCGAGAGACATGGAACAAAACAATAATCCAATTTTTGAAAATAGCCCCTTGTTGCATTATGTCCAGCCTCCCCAACAAGTTAATTCAAGATTTGTTTTATGAGCGGTAGCATTATTCTCTGGTGTAGAATCCAGATCTGAGCCTCTCAATACAGTGGCAATGCGCTTTACTCTCACGACGAACAATGAATTACAAACCTCTCCCTTACATGAAAGGGGAGGAGCATTGCAATAAAATAAATTGTTAAATGCTGTGAGCTAATAGCGACATCTCGTGGTCTTTTGAAATTTGAGGCAAGAAAAGATAAATATATAGGATGGAATATGAAATGTTGATTTTGAAACATCTTAAGATCCAATTTAAAAAACAACACACATAACTTGATATCCTAGACAGAGTTGCCTTATGGATCTACAAGAGGAGGGTTGGTAACAAAGCTACATTATGTTTTGGGTACAAAACATTGGCTAAACATATTAGTAAGAGAACATCTCTGAAGAAGAAATTGTGACTGGCAATTTTCGTAATGTGTTACCCTCTCAATGACAGTACGGATGAGCAATCTTACATTGTTTTGATGAGGAGTTCACAAGATTACAAGTACACAAATGTGAATCGAGGACAAACAATAAAGTGTAAATAACAATGAAGACTTACTTTCATTGTGGTTCAACTGGTCAGCTGTTTTACCAAACTAATTGTGTTATGTCAAAAAAGTAAAAAATTAATTGGGAGAAGTCAATGTCTTGCCATCACCCTTACCTTGTCTTTATTAGGTAAAGTCTGAGTCCTTGTAAAGGTGTCCCCTCCGTTAATACTGATCAGCTCACCATCAGGTGGATATGGTGCGGGGTAAACCACTACGTCACTCTTCAGTGTGTCCGAGCTGAAACACACGTCGTACTGCTGAGTAGATTTAGAGTAAGACCAGCTCCCGTCCGGATGGGTGGTGATCATTGGGGCGCTGTACCTGCTGAAGCTGCCGTCTGTCCTGTGGCATTTGACAGCTATTAAACTGACGAGGCTCAGCAGAAAGATCACCGACACCGACACAATGCCGATCAGCAGATACAGGTTTAAATCAGAGAAGCTGTCCTCCTTTAGGGGAACGTGTCTGAACTGAGTCTGGATGTCAGCTGTGCTTTCAACCACCACCACGTCAATAGACACAGTAGCTGACAGGGAGGGTTCTCCGTTATCAGACACCAACACCACCAAGGGGTGAGTTTTCAGGTCATTGTCACTCATTCTCCTCTTAGTCCTGATCTCTCCGGTGCTGGTTCCGATCCGGAAGAGGTTGTTTCCTTTGGGCTCAGAGAGGTGATAAGAAAGCAGCGCGTTGTATCCAGAGTCTGCGTCTACAGCCCTGATCTTTGCCACGAAGTATCCCGCTTCAGCAGAATAGGGGATGCTCTCACTGTTAACGGAGCCGTGCTCAGAATAGGGCAAGAGGATGGTGGGACTGTTGTCGTTCTCATCCAGGACTAAAACGTTCACAGTCAGGTTGCTGCTGAGCGGAGGAACACCAGCGTCTGTGGCCTGAACCTTAAACTGAAACGTTTTTAACTCCTCGTAGTTGAAGGACTGCAGGGTGACTATGTCCCCAGTCTCTGAGTTTACGTTAATAACAGTGGTTATTGGAATACATTTGGAAATACCAGCCAATGATGAATACGTTACTTTTGCATTTTCTCCCGTATCAGGATCAACTGCTGTTATAGTAGAAATAGTGGCTCCCACTGCACTGTTCTCTTTCACATATACATTAATCACAGGCTCTGAGAATAGTGGGGAGTTGTCATTTACATCAGAAATGTGAACAGGAATAATGCTGGAGCTGGATAGGGGTGGAGTGCCTTCATCAGTAGCTATGATGGTGATATTATATTTAGAAACGCTCTCTCGGTCAAGGGGTCCATCTACGGTTAGTGAATAGTAGTTTTTGTAATTTAGCTTGAGTTTAAAAGGCACCAACCCGAGTAGGTTAGCCTTGGTGAGGCCATTTTTACCCCCATCTTTATCAGTCACTGTCACCAAAGCAACCACTGTACCCACCTCAGAGTCCTCTTTAACTGGGCTCATGAGAGAGGTAATAATTATTTCAGGTAAATTGTCATTAACATCAGTTACTTCCACTAACACTTTACCATGGACACTTCGGGAAGGCGTTCCTTTATCTCTAGCCTGTACACGGATATCAAAAGCTGTATTCTCTTCATAGTCTACTTTTCCACTTACACATATTTCCCCTGTATCTGCGTTTATTGAGAACAAAGTCCCAGGGTTGAAATCCCCCCTCTCAATAAATGAGTAAATAATTTCACCATTCATTCCCTCATCTACGTCGGTTGCAGTTATGGTCACTATTGACGTTTGAAATGCAGCGTTTTCACTGACCTGGGCCTTATACAGAGGTTGACCAAATACCGGAGCATTGTCGTTTATATCCATTATAAGAACCAAGATCTTTAATGTCCCTGACCGGGCTGGTTTTCCTCCGTCCAGAGCAGTTAAAGTGAGGTGGATAACAGACTGTTTCTCTCGGTCTAAAGCTTTCTGTAGTACCAGCTCAGCAGACTCACTGTGCTGTCCGCCGCTCTGTACGTCCAAAGCGAAATACTCATTTGGAGTCAGCTTGTAGCTCTTTACCGAGTTACTCCCCGTGTCTGCGTCATTGGCCATTGGTAGGAGATATCTCTCTCCGGTAAAAGACGATTCAGAAATGTTTAAAGTCTTCTCTTTTTCACGAAAATATGGCGCATTATCATTAATATCAATGATGTGTACCTCTATGCGTTGCAGACCCGTTGGGTTGCTCAGAATGGCTTCGACGTTCAGGGAACATTTTTCTGTATTCGGACAGAGCTCTTCCCGGTCAATCCGATCGCAAACGTAGAGAGCTCCAGTTTTTAAATCCACCTCAAAATATGTCCTGGAATTCCCTGATACAACTCTTAAATTCCGTTTTTCCAGTTCGTGAACATTAATCTGTAAATCCTTTGCGAGATTTCCCACCACCGTTCCTTTGTCAACCTCCTCGGAAACGGAGAAGGAGAGCTGCGCCGTGGACCCGCCGCACAAACAAAACAACGCAGTTATATGAATCCAAATCGTGACTGTTGGTCCTCCACATCCCATCGTTGCCAAAATAGGTTAAATAATAATTTCGAACATATCCACTCTAGGTGGATAACAGACGAAACCCTCGCTGGTTCTTCGAACATGTGTGAAATTTCTGACAAAGCACCAGAGGACTGCTGATGCTTCGTACGTAGAGGAGGAGTCCGAGAAACACCAGACAAAATAATATTGTGGTCTCCAGCGACACCAACTGTTATTTTGGGGCGAATATCCCAAGACTATGAAGGCAATCACATGTAAATGAATAAAGCCTATAGGGAGGAAGTCAAATCAAATGAAATATATAAGTTAATGCATATTTTAATAAAACTCGCGTTCGAATGCGTGTTGGAAGAGCGATATCATGAGGGTTTTAGCACCGTCATATAAAAACGTGGCAGTCTTCCCGTGAAAAACACCTTTCAGAGGTCAGCACCATGGATAGTGAATCGGCTGGTCATCAGTAGGATATATCTACCTTTACCACCGACGTAACAACTTAAAATACATACAATTTTGCCAACTCTTTCAAAGACAGTCTCGCACTATACCACAATATGATGTAGCGAATAACTTGTTTGGAAAAAATGTTTCAAAAATGTAATATAAGTCATTACAATTGCAAGGTTCCCAGAAGTTGATTAACTTATTTCTACAAATGTCTTTCAGAAAGGAAAGGAAAACATGACTATGAATTTATTGACTTTTTTGTTACAAACAACTCACCTTTTCTTTATTAGGTAAAGTCTGAGTCCGTGTGAAAGTGTCTCCTCCATTTATACTGATCAGTTCACCATCTACTTGCGGATAAGGTGCGGGGTAAACCACTACGTCACTCTTCAGTGTGTCCGAGCTGAAACACACGTCGTACTGCTGAGTTGATTTAGAGTAAGACCAGCTCCCGTCCGGGTGGGTGGTGATCATTGGGGCGCTGTACCTGCTGAAGCTGCCGTCTGTCCTGTGGCATTTGACAGCTATTAAACTGACGAGGCTCAGCAGAAAGATCACCGACACCGACACAATGGCGATCAGCAGATACAGGTTTAAGTCAGAGAAGCTGTCCTCCTTCAGGGGAACGTGTCTGAACTGAGTCTGGATGTCAGCTGTGCTTTCAACCACCACCACGTCAATAGACACAGTAGCTGACAGGGAGGGTTCTCCGTTATCAGACACCAACACCACCAAGGGGTGAGTTTTCAGGTCATTGTCACTCATTCTCCTCTTAGTCCTGATCTCTCCGGTGCTGGTTCCGATCCGGAAGAGGTTGTTTCCTTTGGGCTCAGAGAGGTGATAAGAAAGCAGCGCGTTGTATCCAGAGTCTGCGTCTACAGCCCTGATCTTTGCCACAAAGTATCCCGCTTCAGCAGAATAAGGGATGCTCTCACTGTTAACGGAGCCGTGCTCAGAATAGGGCAAGAGGATGGTGGGACTGTTGTCGTTCTCATCCAGGACTAAAACGTTCACTGTCACGTTGCTGCTGAGCGGAGGAACACCAGAGTCTGTGGCCTGAACTTTAAACTGAAACGTCTTTAACTCCTCGTGGTTAAACGACTGCAGACTGATTATTTCTCCAGTCTCAGATTTGATGTTAACCATTGGAGATAACAGAGTTAATTTATTATCACTGACTAAGGAAAACCTCACTTTCCCATTTTCACTAACATCTGCATCAGTTGCAGATACTGCTTTCAACACTGCCCCAATAGGACCATTTTCTCTCACATATATATTAATTGCAGATTCTGAAAACTGAGGGATATTGTCATTTACATCAGAAACATGGATGATAACCACACTGGTAGAAGATATGGGGGGTGTACCTTCATCTACAGCTTTGATAGTGATATGTACTGCGAAATGAGTTCCCTGTCTAGAGCTCTGCCAATTACTAAAGAATAATAATTTCTATAATTTGTCTCTAATTTAAACGGGGCCGAATTCAATACTTCACATTTGACTTCACCGTTTTTGCCCCCATCTCTGTCCAGAATTGAAACAAGTGCAATTGCAGTACCAATTTCAGCGTCTTCCTTCACGGTATTGAGCAGTGACGTCACCGTGATGTCAGGCGCATTGTCATTCATATCCACCACCTCCACGAGTACTTTACACTGTGCTGTTAATGGGGGCTGGCCTTTGTCAGCAGCCTGCACACGAATTTCAAAGGCAGCATTTTTTTCAAAGTCAATATTTCCTTTAACGGTTATTATTCCCGTTTCTGAATCAATTTCAAAAAAATCAAAAACCTGGTCCTGATCCTTAGAATTCAGTAAATACACAATGTCTTTGTTTGTCCCCTCATCGGCGTCATTTGCAGTCACCGTTACTACTGTCGTGCCAAAAGGAGCATTTTCTTTCATGCTTGTTTTATACAATGATTTCGTAAAGGTCGGTATATTATCGTTGTTATCCAAAACATTAATAATTATCTCTGAAGTGCCTGATTTAGGAGGTGTTCCTCCATCTACAGCGGTTAGTGTGAGTTTAATTAAAGCTTGCTTTTCTCGGTCTAACGCTTTCTGAAGCACTAACTCGGCTGACACTCTCTCTCCTCTATGCACAGCTAAAGACATATACTCATTTGGATTTAGCTTGTAAGTATTGATACTGTTTCTTGCTACATCGGCATCGTAGGCTGACAGCACAGGGAATGTAGCACCCGGCAATATGCTCTCTGCTATATCAATAGTCTGTGATTTGGCGCTGAAAGAGGGAGGGTTATCATTTATGTCAATAACATTAATCTCGATACGATAAAGTTTCAGTGGATTATTAATCACAGCCTCCACATTTATGGTGCATTTTGCAGCTTTAGCACAAAGCTCCTCTCGGTCTATTCTCTCGCTGACGTAAAGAAAACCCGTTTTCAAATTTGCATCAAAATACTTTTTCTTTGAGCCAGCAACGATCTGAAACATACGCGACTCCAATTCCTGCACATTCAGGTTCAGATCCTTGGCAATATTCCCAACAGAAGTCCCAAGGTTTACCTCCTCAAATACCGAATACGACAGCTGTGCGGATACCGCTCCACAGTTACACTCCAAGACAACAAGCAGATATATCCAGATGGAGGTCTTTCTTCCCGGCAGATACATAATTCCAGTAACAAGAACAACGCATAGATCCTTAAATCACGTCCCGTTCGTTCATTGAACACAAACGAAAGTGAGAAAGCCCAAATCTTGTGCCATTATGTCCATCTGTCTTCGAACTGCGTTTCATTCTAACAAAGAACTGACACAAATGGTGATCCTTTTAAATGTGGGATTGGCTTCTATACACGTCATCGACTTGCTGGCGGTGTACGGTCTACACTGTCGCCTCCTGGCCGTTTAAAATACTTACAATGATTTAAAAAAAGCATTCAAACATTTATTCAAATCAGAGTGATAAAATAATTATAGATTACAAAATGCTCTTCTTTACTGAGTGTACTCGGTGCACTGATTACGCAGCAGTGTATTCGCCACGTGTTTCAGAACCATAGATTATCATTATGCTGATGTAGTATGCAAAACGGACTTGAGTCGAGAACAAGTTATGCCAAATAAACTGTTGATCCATTGTAAAATAAAATATAATAACCAACACACACCAGTGGGTGCTTCTCCTTTTTGAAAACGGGATTACATATTTGGCCAACCCGGTTAATTACATTCCAGACCTGACATTAGTATTATACCCGTATCAGGAGTCAAAGTCCACGACCCCTAAATAGATATATCGTAGCAACGCTCGAAGGCAGAGAAACGTATTAAAACCCTGTGTAGATATTCTGAAGGTGATGTATTCTCAAGGCGAGATGGAAAAAATACGAAAATGTTAAATTCAAAATATCAGTCATTTTGAAAACGAGTTGACAAATTCATCGGATGAAAGTCAGTCTCATTGTTCTCTGAAGTTATCGTTCCGGTATCTAGTCAATAGTTGCTTAAAGTTGATAATTAAGCAAAAAGAAAAAACGAAGCTAATGGCATGTTTTGGTGTTTATGTGAAGGAGTATTCCCAGTGTGTGTAAGAAAAAGTGTCATTATATTCTGTTCTTAAAAAAGGATGCAAAGTAACACTTTGTTTTTGTTTGTAGCAGTTAAATTGTGATTGTCGTGTCTTTGCGAACTCTAAGAGAGGGAAGATACTATGTTTGGGTAAGCAATAAAAAATAGGCGATTGGAAAAAAGAAGCTAAACCCAAGAGTAAATGGACGATGAGCATCAACATGGTACATTCTTACCTTGTCTTTGTTGGGTAAAGTCTGAGTCCGTGTAAAAGTGTCTCCTCCATTTATACTGATCAGCTCACCATCTACTTGCGGATAAGGTGCGGGGTAAACCACTACGTCACTCTTCAGTGTGTCTGAGCTGAAACATACGTCGTACTGCTGAGTAGATTTAGAGTAAGACCAGCTCCCGTCCGGATGGGTGGTGATCATTGGGGCGCTGTACCTGCTGAAGCTGCCGTCTGTCCTGTGGCATTTGACAGCTATTAAACTGACGAGGCTCAGCAGAAAGATCACCGACACCGACACAATGCCAATCAGCAGGTACAGGTTTAAGTCAGAGAAGCTGTCCTCCTTTAGGGGCACATGTCTGAACTGAATCTGGATGTCAGCTGTGCTTTCAACCACCACCACGTCAATAGACACAGTAGCTGACAGGGAGGGTTCTCCGTTATCAGACACCAACACCACCAAGGGGTGAGTCTTCAGGTCATTGTCACTCATTCTCCTCTTAGTCCTGATCTCTCCCGTGCTGGTTCCGATCCGGAAGAGGTTGTTTCCTTTGGGCTCAGAGAGGTAATAAGAAAGCAGCGCGTTGTATCCAGAGTCTGCGTCTACAGCCCTGATCTTTGCCACAAAGTATCCCGCTTCAGCAGAATAGGGGATGCTCTCACTGTTAACGGAGCCGTGCTCAGAATAGGGCAAGAGGATGGTGGGACTGTTGTCGTTCTCATCCAGGACTAAAACGTTCACAGTCACGTTGCTGCTGAGCGGAGGAACACCAGAGTCTGTGGCCTGAACTTTAAACTGAAACGTTTTTAACTCCTCGTGGTTAAAAGACTGCAGGCTGACTATGTCTCCAGTCTCTGAGTTGATGCTTACAACAGACGTTATAGGAATACTCTTTGAATCGCCATATAATGAGTACGTTAATCGGGCGTTTTCATGTATATCAGGATCGACTGCAGTTACGGAATAGATACGAGCCCCAATTGGGCTGTTTTCTTTTACATAAATGTTAATCACGGCCTCAAGGAAATGAGGCGCGTTGTCATTGACATCAGCAACATGCACAGTTATAACGCTGGTGCTGGAGAGAGACGGGGTCCCTTCGTCAGCAGCTGTAATCGTGACATTGTAAAACTTATGTCCTTCTCTATCAAGAGTTCCCTCAACAATTAAAGAGTAATAATTTTTATAATTGGAAGTTAGCTTGAAAGGTTGAGAACCGATAAGTGTACAGCGAGTCTGGCCATTTTTTCCTCCGTCTCTATCAGTTACTGTCACTAAAGCTACAACGCTTCCTATATCTGCATCTTCTTTAACTGGGTTCATGAGTGACGTCACCACAATTTCTGGGGTATTGTCGTTCACGTCAACTACTTCCACCAGCAGCTTTCCATTTGCCTGACGAGGCAACACACCTTGGTCTGTTGCTTGAACATGAATTTCATATGTGGACTGTGCTTCGTAATCCAAATCACCTTTAACTGCAATTTCCCCATTTTCCGCGTTGATGGAAAAGACAGCAGAAGGATTGAAATTCCCACGCTTGACAAAAGAATAAGTGATCCTGCCGTTTTTCCCTTCGTCTAAATCTTTAGCATTCATTTGAATTACCTCTGATCCCGCCGGCGCATTTTCCTTCACCCGTGCCTTGTAAAGAGTTTTACTAAACGACGGCGTGTTGTCATTGACATCTAGAACATTGACATGTATATATAAAGTTCCGGATTTTGGAGGCTTCCCCCCATCTACAGCCGAAAGCGACAGTTTAATGGCGGCTTGTTTTTCACGATCCAAGGCTTTCAACAAAACCAATTCAGCGGAGGCACTGTGTTCTCCGCCACCCTGCACATCGAGAGAGAAGTATTCATTTGGACTCAGGCTATAAGTCTTGACTGCATTGCTTCCCCTATCTGCATCGATAGCCTGGGGGAGCAAAAAGTGTTCACCTCTAGGTGATGATTCAGATATGTTAAGGGCATATGACTTCTCAACGAAGGTCGGTGCATTGTCATTCATATCAACAATAACCACCTCAATGCGATGGAGGACAATAGGGTTACTCAGTATCGCCTCTAAGTTTAGACTGCATTTGATCGTGTTGGGACAAAGCTCCTCGCGGTCTAGTCGCTCGTTTACATAAAGATCCCCCGTTTTAAAATTAACTTCGAAATATTTCTTACTGTACACAGACACGACATTTAAATTCCTCGTTTGCAGCTCTCGAACGTTTACGTTAAAATCCTTTGCGAGATTCCCAACCACAGTCGCTTTGTCCACCTCCTCGGAAACAGAGTAGAGAATCTGAGCAGCAGACCACTCCGATAAAAGCAGGATGAACATACAACGTAGAATCCCCTCATTGCTTCCACGGCCCATTGCTGCTGTCAAAGACATTGACGGAATGACGATGATATTGATCCATAAAACGCAACTCGATCGGAAAAAAATGTTAAATCCCGTCCACTCCAGTGCGCTCCTTTCACTCGCCACTCATGTTCCTCGCACAAAGCACTAGCAGTCTGCTGACGCTTCACACGAGAAAGAGGAGACTTTAAAACTGCGAGCTCACAGCAAGCTGTGGTCCTCAGCGACCCCAGGCGTTACAAGGTGGAACTAAAAAGGGTTTGTTAGATCAAGTTGCACGCACTGGCTTTAACATACGTAACAACTATTTTGAATAGTTCCATTGGACTGGTGGAAAGTTCGAAGACATCAAGAATATTTCCACATAACAAACGTCAAAAGTACTGTTATCATCCAATATTTGACGGCAATTACAGTTCAACGACGTTCAACTATTTTCAACCATGACTCCTTTATGAGTAACATACTATGTCATTAAAATCTTATTGAAGGATTTTTTGGGGCAAAGGTTTTTGTATATTATGCCATGAAGACAAACAAGGCACCAATACGTTTTCAGCTCCATGGAAAGCACCGATCTACAGACCTGCTTGCAGGACATGCCAATTACATGACAACTTCAGCCAAGCATGTTATTTATTTCAGTATAAATGTTTGCAAATGTAATTACAATGATATTTTAGTAAATTAAACATTCTTCATTAGGAATTCATGGCTATAACAAATGTGCAGGTGTAGGAGTAAAAAGCTATCAACAACTCACCTTGTCTTTATTAGGCAACGTTTGTGTTCTGGTAAAAGTGTCACCTCCGTTTATACTGATTAGCTCACCATCCATAGGCGGATAAGGTGCAGGGTAAACCACTACGTCACTCTTCAGTGTGTCTGAGCTAAAACACACGTCGTACTGCTGAGTAGATTTAGAGTAAGACCAGCTCCCGTCCGGGTGGGTGGTGATCATTGGGGCGCTGTACCTGCTGAAGCTGCCGTCTGTCCTGTGGCATTTGACAGCTATTAAACTGACGAGGCTCAGCAGAAAGATCACCGACACCGACACAATGGCGATCAGTAGATACAGGTTTAAATCAGAGAAGCTGTCTTCCTTTAGGGGCACATGTCTGAACTGAGTCTGGATGTCAGCTGTGCTTTCAACCACCACCACGTCAATAGACACAGTAGCTGACAGTGAGGGTTCTCCGTTATCAGACACCAACACCACCAAGGGGTGAGTCTTCAGGTCATTGTCACTCATTCTCCTCTTAGTCCTGATCTCTCCGGTGCTGGTTCCGATCCGGAAGAGGTTGTTTCCTTTGGGCTCAGAGAGGTGATAAGAAAGCAGCGCGTTGTATCCAGAGTCTGCGTCTACAGCCCTGATCTTTGCCACAAAGTATCCCGCTTCAGCAGAATAGGGGATGCTCTCACTGTTAACGGAGCCGTGCTCAGAATAGGGCAAGAGGATGGTGGGACTGTTGTCGTTCTCATCCAGGACTAAAACGTTCATTGTCACGTTGCTGCTGAGCGGAGGAACACCAGAGTCTGTGGCTTGGACTTTAAATTGAAACGTTTTTAACTCCTCGTGGTTAAAAGACTGCAGACTGATTATATCTCCTGTCTCTGAGTTTATATTTAAAACGGATGTGAGTGGAATATTTCTTGGAGATGTATCTATCAATTTGTAGGTTAATTTGGAATTTGTGTTCAAATCAGGATCAAATGCATGTATTGTATATATGATGGACCCTACAGGACTATTTTCTTTAATATAAACATGAATCACAGGCTCCATA